GGATGGTTTGTGTTCATTCAAGTCAGAAGTAGGAATAATAATTGTGAGGTTTTACAGATTCATATCAGAAAAAGCCTGGAGCTGAGCATTGCAATTGCAAGTGAAGGATTATGATAAATTAAAACATCATTTTTCTTTTTTTTTTTTCTTGCAAAAAGTAGTCATGCCAGTTCTTTGCAGAATTATCTTACACAGAGCCAGGAATCGTTCAGAGCAGGAGTGGTGTCTCTGCTGAGTGGGTTTCATATTCCAAACATACATATGTTGCACAGAGTGTCTAATTATTCTTGGAGACAATTACTGTCAGGTTCCAAAATGTGTTCAATGAGCAGCAATTGGTGTTTATTCAGCTCTAAAAAGACTATGCGAGGGAACAGTAGGTTATATTGTCTGCCTAAAGAAACGTTTTGCCATCCAGAAACATCTGCTTTCTATTTAAAGCACTGGAGAAGGATTGGGAGTATTTTTGAAATACACTCCCTAAGCATCAAACACCAAAGAAAGGAGAATAAAATTGGGTATGAAGGTAGTTTCTGTTCTCTGATACAGACTGGCTTCAGCTTTTCCCTGCTGGGAGGGAAAAGCGGCCTCCTGGGTTGGAAAGTTCTGCTTCTCTTGAATTTTTCTATTTATACTGATTTGCACACTTATAGGAACTGACTTCTGTGTCCTAGTTCTAGCATTTTTGCTTTTTTCAGGTGAGACAAGATGATCTCCCAGAGCTGGGGTCTGCATTTCTGAATTTTGTGGTGAGGTTTGTAGACTTCTCTGATTTTGCCCATCAAGATGTAGGGATCTGTGGTACACAGTAAACTTTCTATGAAGGTCAATGTATCAGTTATCTTTTGCTGGGTAAATTGCCACAAACTTCCCAGCTTAAAACCCTTTCTCTGGGTCAAGAGTCTGGCGTGGCTTAGCTGGGTCCTCTGCTTTTGGGTCTTTTATGAAGTGTCATTAAGGTATAAACGAGGGCTGGGATCTCATCTGAGGTCTCAACTGTGGAAAGATCTGACCTCCAAGTTTCCAAGTGGTTGTTGGAGGAATTTCAGTTCCCCAGGGGGTGTTGAACAGAGGGCCTCAGTTTCCCTCTGGCTGTTGGCTGAAGGCCACTCTCAGTTCCTGCAAATGTGGGTCTCCCAGCATTGCAACATGCCTCACCAAAGCTGTGAAGAGAGTCAAGAGAATCTGCTAGCAAGACAGACATTATAGTTCCGTGGAACTTACTTGCACGATGACATCCTATCACCTTTGCTGTATTCTTTCAGTTAAAAGCAAGTCACAGGTCCCCCCCACCACTACCACCATACTCAAGGGGAGGGGATTATGTAAGGGCATAATTACCGGGAGGTGGGGATCATTGGAAACCACATCAAAAACTGCCTCTTACAGACAGCTATTATTTTAGAAAGAGAGCATAGCATAATGATTAAGAGGGAGGGTGACCATGTCACTTAGAACTGATTTCACGTCAGATCTGCCACTTACTGTGTAAGCCACATCAGGTCCTTGGGCTCTCTGAGCCCCCATTTCCCCACCTGTACACCTCCCCCAAAGGATCATTATGATCCCCAAAGGAGAGGTCACGTGTAAAGCCTGGCAGATGGGAAGTAGTCAGTAAATATTAACTACTGGCTTTTTTTAAATCCCTTTTTCCCCTCTTCTTTAAATACCATTAGATTTTTGAAGTTTAGAAGAATTAATTAGAATTCCCCACTGGCCTCAGATGTGGTTATTCACATGGAAATCTCAGTACTCTGAGTAGTTTCCTGGGCACAGCGCTGCTATCAGACTGGCCCTGCATTGGCCAGGACCAAGGAATGCAGGTCCTTGGTCTCCCATGGTGCTCGTCCTCAGAAGGGGTGGTGGGACTCCCCGCAGCTCCCCTTCCAGGGTTCGGGGCCTCTCTCCACACTGGAGCAGCCACTTGGCCTGCGGAGACCTGACCATGGTACCCCGGGCTGCTGCCACAGAAGGTCCACTGTGTTCTTCCAACATCCTTCATTTCTGGATAGGGCCCCCAGGGCGACTCACCATCACTTGGGTCCATTCCCATAGCGGAGCAGACAGATTAGCAGATGGGGTGTCTTCATGTCTATATGTTCACCTTGACCTGAATCGAGCCACGCAGATGACTCTTGGCTTTTGCTTAGCCCTGGTCAGGAACCTCCACCCTCTCGTCTCCTGGTCCTTCCTGCCATGTCTCCGTTCATTCCACTTTCCTTACTTTCTTTGTCCTGCAGGCCTCAGGGACACAGGGTGCTTGCAGTAGGTCATTGCTTGGCCATACAAGCTTCCCACCCCCCAGTCTCTACCCAGAGTGCTCTCTTCTGCCTCACCATGTACCTCCCCACTCTTTGCACCCCAAAATCATGTTCTTGGCCACAGACATAGTCCCCTTTGGGCTATGGAAGGAAGTTCTGGAGTTATTCAAAGTTAGCTGTGTCTTTCTAGAGGAAAGATGCTGGCTGTAGGGTCACTTCTTCCACCTTTTTTCTAGATCATCTGATCATGTCTACTGTGGGTATCTCCCTGGCTTCTTTGAAGATAAAATCACCTGGAACTCTTGTTAAAAACAGAGCTACCCAGGCCCCTCCCTGGACAGCCAAGTTCCTGGGGGGAGGGGGGCGTTGGGGCCCAGGAACTTGTATTTTTATTGAGTGCCCCAGCTAATTTCTATCAGAGGTTTAGAGAGCACTGGGCTAAGGGCACTAAATCCCAGACCCAGTTCCTCTTCCTCAGTGTGGAGTACATAAGGGAAGGTGTGAAAGCCAGGCCCCTTCCCCAGCGAGGGCTCCTGGCTGATCCATGGGCCCCTGCCCCGCTTGTCCATGCTCTGGGCAAGGGAGGCAGAGAGACTAAGTGCCATGCAATTATTATTATTTTTTTTAATTGAGGCATAATTGGCATGTAACATTGCGTTAGTTTTAGGTACACACCATGATTTGCTATTTGTTTACATTGCAGAATTTCTTTAAAAATCTTTTCCGCAGTTACTGTCCTTTCAATCAGCCTCTCCTCTTGCATATGCAGGAGAATTCCATGTGAGCAAGTGTTTTCCTTTATGGTGTTGTACTTAGATGATTAGCAAAATATGGTGCCTGGGCTGGCAGTGGCACAGCTGGGGGATCCAGATGTCCGACTTCCCCATGTGGACTTGTTGAGGACAGCTTGCAGCCATGTGCACACAGGCTCCCCCTTGGGCTGGCCCCTCTGGACAACAGATGCAGGGAATTACATCCAGGGTGTTCCTGTTGTTTCTACATCCTGTCACCCTGCTGCTGGAAGGGTGTCAATTTAGGATTGGGTGGGTGGGTGAACCTAATCATGGTTCAGGAAAGATAAACGTCCTGGTAATCACATCCCCAGAGGCACTTGTCCTGCCTGGGATCTAGAAGGAAAGTTTCGGGGGAGCAAGGAATGCTTCTGTTGGTTCTTCTGGAAAGCTGGCCTCTTGAATCTGCTGCATTGAGGGAGCACAAATGGCATGCCCTTGGCTTTTATTCTTCTGGAAGAGCAGTCATGAAAAAGTTTCTGCACTTGTCTTGTGGCCACAATTGATGGTTGATGCTGATATTTGTGGCGATACTCAGTATTCTTTGCATGAGGGTCAAATAGTAAATTGCTTTTCTAGGAAGAAGTTTCTCTCCTAAGAAAGCGCTTTCTTTCCAGTAATGAGCCTTTTCTAGGCAGAACAGGCTCAAAGACTGCTCCATCTAGAGACCACAACACTTAAAATTCACCTTCTCCTTTTGATTTTTTTTTTTTTTGTATCCACTTGGTGTTTTTTCGTCACTCCTTTTGATGTCGTAAGGATTTTAAAACTTAATTTGAGTTACTGTTTGGTTTTGTTTTTATCTCCAATAAATGCTTATTAAATCTGTAGCGTTTTGTGAGTAATGGGGCTACTTTTACATCCTGGTGGTTCCATTTCCCTCATGTTATCTTATCTGGAACACTTAAAGGATTTTTGAGCCAGTTTGCCCAAAGACACTCTTTAAAATTAAGTATGTTTCTTAATGAGTTTGTGTTTCATTTTATGTTACTTTATGAAGTAGATACCTTAAAATATGAAATCCAGTGTAATCCATTACAATTTTTTTAACCCATCTTCCTTATTTCTTGACACTTATTGTCACTATCAAAATAATTCCCTGCTTGCCAGGAAGAAACCTGAATAGTGTGCCCATTTGGTTGACGATCACATTAAGAATTGACAGGCATGCAGAACAAAAGAGCAACAACCGTACAGAGGCAAGAATAGCAAAAGAGATGGATTTCCTGAATTAAACTCCTAAACCTCAAAAGGTTTTTATTTTTATTTTATTTTATTTTTTTTAATTCATTCATGATAGTCACGCACAGAGAGAGAGAGAGAGAGGCGCAGAGACACAGGCAGAGGGAGAAGCAGGCTCCATGCACCGGGAGCCCGACATGGGACCCGATCCCGGGTCTCCAGGATCGCGCCCTGGGCCAAAGGCAGGCGCCAAACCGATGCGCCACCCAGGGATCCCTCAAAAGGTTTTTAAGTGGAAACATAAAACTTGAAGGCTCAGTCAATTACGAATGAACACATCATTTGTAAAAGGCTGTGAACTTGAGAAATACTTCCTAGAAATATAATACAAAGTTGCAAATGGATTGCAAAATCCTAAAATTGTGGCAGAGTCCTCCAAAAATAAATGTATCACAAAGTCCCGAGAATGCCCACAGGATGTCAGAACAGGACCAGGACACTGGACAGGAAGCAAGACTGCTGGACAAAGCGGCATTTACAGCAGATCGATTGTTCGGCCAGTTGCCTCCAGCTTGCATGTGTTGGGTTTCTGTAACTCCTGTGCTGGCATCTCTTTGCTCCCTTTTCTTATTTTAATTATCCTCATGCATATGTATCTCTCCCCAGGAGCTATTAAGATCTTTGGGGGCAGCAGGGGGTGCTGGAAATCATAAATGATGCATGAAGTCACGTTCAGTCAGCTCACGTGCCCTCTCTCCTCCTGCAGAGAACAGCCCATCTTCACCACGCGGGCGCACGTCTTCCAGATCGACCCCAGCACCAAAAAGAACTGGGTGCCTGCGAGCAAGCAGGCAGTCACCGTTTCCTACTTCTACGATGTCACCAGGAATAGCTATCGCATCATCAGTGTGGATGGAGCCAAGGTACCACCCCAGGGGCTAATGTTAATATTCCCAGACACTTCCTTCTCGTTAAAAACAGTACAATCCGGGGGCACCTGGGTGGTTCAGTCCATTAAGCATCCAACTCTTGGTTTCGACTCAGGTCATGATCTCATGGGTTGTGGGATCGAGCCCCACATCAGGCTCCAAGCTCAGTGCAGAGTCTACTTCAGATTCTTTTTACCTCTCTCTCCTGCTCACATATACACAAACTCTGTCTCTCTCTCAAATAAATAAGATCTTTTTTTCTTTTTAAAGATTAAAAAAAAAAAGATTTTTATTTATTCATGAGGGACAGAGAGAGAGAGAGAGGGGCAGAGACACAGGCAGAGGGAGAAGCAGGCTCCATGCAGAGAGCCCGACGTGGGACTCGATCCTTGGTCTCCAGGATCAGGCCCTGGGCTGAAGGCGGCACTAAACCGCTGAGCCACCCGGGCTGCCCCAAATAAATGAAATCTTAACAAAAAAGCTGTATAATATGTTTGAAAGTGGAGGGGAAGAGATGCACCCAAATCCTGCCGCCTTAACACAGATGTTACTGTTGTGATCATGATGCTGGTATAATCACACACTCTGCCTTTTTTTTTTTTTTCATTTAAACTTATTGTAAATGGGAAAAAAAAATTTCCCTGTCACCATATTGTCTTTGTAACTAGCATTTTAATGCCTGTGTAGTAGTTCTACCAAGGCCTATAATGTTCTTAATCTCTCCCCTTATGGTCGCATATGTCAGTGGCTTCCGTTTTTTTTTTTTCTTTACTGTATAGATAATGAGCATCTTTATACAACAAATACTCTCATTCATTCATCACATAACTAATTGCTTTCTTTGGGCTATTTCCTTAGGATAGATTCCTGGAAGAAATACTATTGGTCGAGATATTAACTATTTATTCATGGCATATGGTGGATGTGACCAAATTGCTTTCCCAAGAGTCTGTTCTTCCAGCATGCATGAGAATGCCAGCGTATTGCACCCTTACCAGCACTGGCTATTATATCTAATCTGGTTTTGGTGTTAATTATTCCTGGAAGTCAAATTTTTTTAAAAAGATTTTAGAGAATTTCTTGAAATAAAATTTTTTTCAGGTACTTGTATTATTCCACTGTCTTCCTTGATATTTTTGCCACATTGCTATGGGGGTAGAATAAAGAAGGATGTCAACAGAAGTATCACCAAGTTAACAAAAAAAAAGTTAGTTAGACTTGATGCTTTATAATTTCTTTTCTGTCTTTAATCTGTGTTCATCCCGCTGGACAGTTTTACGATTTACATTATATGCTGTCACCAGAAATTCAGCGTATCTGTGGCACCTGACTGGCTCAGTCGGTGGAGCATGCAACTCTTGATCTTGGGATTGTGAGTTCAAGCCCCATTTTGGAGATAGTTTACTTTAGATAGATAAATAAACAAAGTCACTTATGAAAAAATAAAATGAAATTTAGTGTATCTGAAGCTGAATTCCCCTATTTGCCCTCTAAACCACCTCCCCAGTTTTTATTCCCAATCAATCTGGGCTAAAAAAAAAAAAAAAGGAAAGAAAAAGCACAAATTCATCCTTTTTTTTTTTTTTTTTTAGTTGGTCAAATGAGCTTGCTTTTGAAGTGCCTCACAGTTATGCCTAATATTTTGTTTTAAGGCCATAACTTGTCTTGAAAGTCTTTTTTTTATTGAAGTATAATTAACATATAGTAGTGTTATATTAGTTTCAGGTGTTATATTAGTTTCAGTGTTATATTAGTTTCCAACGTCTTGATTCAGCAACTCCATATATTACTCCTGCTTATCACGAGAAGTGTAGCCACCATCTGTCACCAGATATTTTTACAGTATTATTGACAGCATCCCCTATGCTGTGCTTTTCATCCCCATGACTTATTTATTTTACAGCTGGAAGTTTGTACCTCTTAATTGCCCATATATATCTCATCCATTCCTCCTGCCTGCTTCCTGTCTGACAACCATTGGTTTGTCCCGCTTTTTGTTTGTTTTGTTTTTCAGATTCCACATACGAGTGAAATCATATAGTGTTTGTCTTTGTCTGACTTCTTTCACTCAGCATAATACCCTCTAGGTCCATCCATGTTGTCACCAATGGTGAGATCTCATTCTTTCATATGCCTGAGTTATATTCCATTGTGCATATATGCCACATGCTCTTTATCCATCCATCTATGGATGGACACTTGGGTTGCTTCCCATACATACCTTGGCTATTGTAAATAATGCTCAGTAAACATAGGGGTACATATCTTTTTGAATTAGTGTTTCTGTTTTCTTTGGGTAAATACCCTGTAGTGGATTACTGGATTGTATGGTAATTTTATTTTTAATTTTTTGAGGAACTTCCATACTGTTTTCCACAGTGGCTGCACCAATTTACGTTCATACCAACAGTACATGAGGGTCCCCTTTTCTCATATCCTTGCCAACACCTGTTATTTCTTGGCTTTTTTCCCCCAAAGATTGATTGATTGATTAGAGAGAGAGAGAGAGCATTCATGTGTGTGCATGCGAGTGGGGGGGGACAAAGGGAGAGAATCCCAAGCAGACTCTCCACTGAGCTTGGAGCCAGATGCAGGGCTTAATCCCACTACCCTGAGATCATGACCTGAGCTGAAATCAAGAGTGGGACGCTTAATGGACTGAACCACCCACACACCCCTCTTGTCTTTTTAAAGATTTTATTTAAAATCAGAGAGAGAGGGATCCCTGGGTGGCGCAGCGGTTTAGCGCCTGCCTTTGGCCCAGGGCGCCATCCTGGAGATCCGGGATCAAATCCCATGTCGGGCTCACGGTCCATGGAGCCTGCTTCTCCCTCTGCCTGTGTCTCTGCCTCTCTCTCTCTGTGTGTGATTATCATAAATAAATAAAAATTAAATAAATAAAAATGAAAATAGCTATTAAAAAATAAAAATAAAAATAAAAAAATCAGAGAGAGAGGGCAAGGGAGAAGCAGGCTCCCTGTGGAGAGCCTGAAATGGGACTCCATCCCAGGAGCCCAGGATCACACCCTGAGCCAAAGGCAGACCCTCAACCACCCAGGCATCCCTCTCTTGTCTTTTTAATGCTAACCATTCTGACAGGTGTGATGTGCTATCTCACCATGGTTTTAATTTGCATTTTGCCCACTGAGGAGGGATGTTAAGCACCTTTTCACTGACTTGAAGCTCTTAGTAGTCTTGTGACCGGCCTCCCCCTCCTGCCTATAGTCTGTCCCCCCTCCTGGCTCTGCCTGTAGTCCACATCCTGAAGGGTGAGAAGCAGGGGATGGGGGGTTGGGCAGTATAATGGGGCCTGATTGGAGGCTCCCTGCTCCTCTGGAGCCACAGAGCAGAAGGCACAGAGATGCCTCCATCAGAAGGTCCTCTGAGAAAACTATGGGAGCCTGTCGGTGCCTTCTGATCTCCTGACGAGGCTCCTTGTCCTAAGACAAAATTCCCCTTTGCGGCCATGTTCTCTCAGCCTCATAGAAACTGCGGATGAGATTGGCTGGGCCCCGACATCCTCTATGACTTCCACCTAGTTGCCACAACCCTTCCTCCTACTCAAGAAGGGAGCCCCAAAGTTCTCGCTTCACAGTTGAGATCAAGGACAGGCAGTCACCCGACCACATTCACACTGCCAGTAGGCTTGGCAGGCTGGCACTGTGGCTAGTTCCTAGGACACCAGCTTCCTAGCGCTTGGGTTGGAGCAGGCCGTTCCCTGGCTGGTAGAGGAGCGTGTCCTGACATGGTGCCTTGCAGGCAGGGTATCATCTTCTGTGTTCAGATGGCAATAGCTGGTCTGGCAAATATGTCTAAAGGGAGGCAGGGGGGCTGGTTTTCTCCTCTAAACAAGCAGGATAAGACATTGGCAGGATTCTGGTGAGTGCTGAGGAAGTGTGAACATGCCTGGGACTTGGTAGGTAGGCAGCTCATGTTTGCTGAGTGAATATTGGAAAGGTGCCTTTATTATTATTATTGTTACTGTTGTTTTTCTTCTGGGAGATGTGGTGATACCACAGGTATCTCTGGGCTTCGGACTGTGCCTCTTCCAGAATGTTCTGACAGGGGTGGTGAATCAAACTGACCTGCTTCCTCTTATCTGTAGATGCTATCAGTTCATCTGCCCTCAAGCTGGGTTTGCACGTTTGTGAGTTCAGTTATTTAAGGTTATATTGGGCTTAAATACAGATAAAATGACTTTCTTTCTTTCTTTCTTTCTTTCTTTTCTTTCTTTCTTTCTTCTTTCTTTCTTTCTTTCTTTCTTTCTTTCTTTCTTTCTTTCTTTTCTTTCTTTCTTTCAGATTTATTCATTTATGATAGACACAGAGAGGCAGAGACACAGGCAGAGGGAGAAGCAGGCTCCATGCCGGGAGCCCGATGCAGGACTCGATCCCGGGACTCCAGGATCGCGCCCTGGGCCAAAGCCAGGCGCCGAACCGCTGAGCCACCCAGGGATCCCCGATAAAATGACTTTCTTTGAGAAAGTGCTTTATTCCTATTAGCTGGACTTTTAATAATTTGTCATAGTGTCAGCCACTGTATCACGCCACTCTGCATAAAGGCTGCGACAGTGTGGCAGGGTGTGAGCCAAGCAAGCCAGCTACGAGAGGTCAGATGGGTATGGGGTGGGGGTTGCTTACCCCCTCACCACAGAATAGAACCAATTCACAGTCAGTGTGTGGGGGACCCATTGAGTTATGGACTCACAGAGTGGGAACCTAGCAGTGAGGCACCCTGGAATTCAGAATTGGAGCCAAGGATCTTGTGCATCCCTCCTGGTATTCCTGAAACCTGCCCAGGATTCCCATTTTACTGTGGCGGCATAGGAGCTGTGACAGGTCCTAGCTGTACAAAAGGAGGTGCCCTGGGGGGAGCAGGAGGGCCAGCGTGGTGGAGACATAGGAACTTTAGTCATTGAATCACCGGGACTGGCACTCAGGGCAGGGATGGGAGGGCAGATTTCCCGCCAGGAGAGCTGTAGCACGGGACACCAG